GTGCAGTGGATCCACCCCTGTGACAGGTCTCTGTCTGAGAGCCCAGGCTGTTTGTGATATGCTTTGAAATCTAGGTGGAGGAAACCATATCCCCACAGCTCCTGCATACTTTGTGGCTGCAGAATTGGCACACATAGATGCTGCTAAAGTTTACAGCTTTTACCTTATGAAGTGGTAGGTTAAGCCACACCTGGGGCCTATCGAGGTGGGGCACCTGAGGGGCACTGCAGCAGAATACAGGAAGCAGAGTCCTCAGGTGGCTCTGGGCAATGAGCCTACGAATGCTTGCTTGTCAGACCTTTCTTCTTCTCAAAGCCAGCAGTCCAATTATGGGGGCCCCACCCTGATAATCTTATCTAATTCTAGTTACCTCCCAAAGGCCCTACCTCTAAACATGATCAACATATGGGGATTAAGTCTGCAGCACACAAAATTTGGGGGACATATTCAAACCACAGCAGTATGAGTATGTTACTAAAGTTTTCTAAAATAATATATTTAAAATAAATAAGATGATACATAGACCAAACCACAATAACTCAATTAAATACAAGCTGGTATATACACAAGGTGTTTATCAATACCAGTATGCAGGGAAATCTCTAGCAATCTGACTCTGACCCCCTTTTCCAGCCCTGTGCTGTTGCATATTCTCATGAAGGATTTGGATAGGAGTATTATCAGCAAATTGAACATATGCATAGATGTTAAAAAGTTACAAGAGATACCCAATATGCAGGGTGAAAGAATTAACTTTGAAAAATCCCAACAAGATTGAAAAACAAAACCCCCCAAAACCCAATGATTCTAATAGTAAAGAACTTAATGGAAACATATGTAGTCTGAAAAAAACACACATGTAGAAGGTTAAGATGGTGAAGAGCAGGCTTTGGGATCAGGCAGATCTAGATTTGTGTTCTATATTCCACTTACCTTCTTACATGAGAGATCTCTTGCATTTTACCTAATTTTCTTTTTTTTTTTTTTGAGACGGAGTCTTGCTCTGTCGCTCAGGCTGGAGTGCAGTGGCCGGATCTCAGCTCACTGCAAGCTCTGCGTCCCAGGTTTACGCCATTCTCCTGCCTCAGCCTCCCAAGTAGCTGGGACTACAGGCGCCCGCCACCTCGCCCGGCTAGTTTTTTTTATTTTTTTTAGTAGAGACGGGGTTTCACCGTGTTAGCCAGGATGGTCTCGATCTCCTGACCTCGTGATCCGCCCGTCTAGGCCTCTCAAAGTGCTGGGATTACAGGCTTGAGCCACCGCGCCCGGCCGCATTTTACCTAATTTTCTTGAGCTCAATTTCCTCTTTTGTATAATAGGAAAATTGCTGTAACTACTTCTTAGAGTTAGTTTTGACTAACAATGAATATGAAATTCTTAGCATAGATGCTAGAATATAAATATTAAATATGTATTATTTATTATTTCTTTTTATATGTCACACCAACTTTGCTAAATGGAGGGAACAAATATATCACATAAACTTCATAAAACAATCTATAGATCTGAGAACCACATTATAAATGAAATATTAACAAACCGAATCTTATCCAGAGGTACTGAAAAAAATAGAACAATTGGAAGATTTTTTAAAAGTCACAAGGAGATGTTTAAGCAGGAAGAGAAACTCTTGAAGAATATGACTGAATACTTCAAACTTCTAAGGCTTGCTTTATAAAGAAAGAGACTACAATGTAGAATCTGTAATTACAAATAGAAGTTATGTGGAAATGGATTTCTGTTCAACACAAGAAAGAACATACAGACAGTCCAGTCCGCAACTTAGGATGGCTTGACTTAGGATTTTTCAATTTCATGATGATGCGAAAGTGAAACTGTACTTCAAATGTTGAATTCTGATCTTTTCCTGAGCTAGTAATATGTGGTACAATACTCTTGCAATGCTGGGGAGTGGCAGTAAGCCACAGCTGTCAGTTAGTCCTATGATCAGGAGGGTAAGCAGCTAGTATTCTACAGTGTATTCTGTTGCTGGCACTTTGTGGATATTGTGTGTTGTGTTTTCACATCCCATCATATATACTAAATGCCCATTTTTGACAGGATATTTTCAACTTACAATGGGTTTATCAGGACGTAGCTCTGTTTTAAGTTGAGAAGCTTCTGTATTAAGTGGTAGGCCTGTCTAGGAGGATTTCAGAGGTGGTTTAGGTTTTGCATGGGAGGAGCAATGTTCAAATAGAGGTGGGAGGTCACTTGCTGGGGTTATTAGAGAGATGATGGAAACAACAAATCAGCAGTTGAGAGAGAGGAAACGCTGTAACTGAAGGGTTCAGTGACTAATTGAACTGTGATCTGCATTATTCATTCCTGTATCTTAGTCTTGTCAAAGGAATGAAAACATTACCTCTTGACCCCTTCATTACTAAATTTGAGTAAATTTGAGTAAATTGTTAAAATATTATACAAATCCTCTACACTTATGTCCAACTTATTGTTCTTTATAATTCTCCACTAACAATACAAAGAGAGAGAGAGATCTATTTAATTGGAGGGATCTAATCTATTTTGGTTATGAATGGGTCTGTCTCTTTTTTTGGGCTTCATAACAAGAAGAGGGTAACATAATTTTTAAAGAGAGAGGGATTTTATATGTCATTGTCCATACCAGAATACTTTTGAGATGGACTTGGGCAATAACCAGACAGGCTACAGGACAGCAGGTATAAACTACAGCATTCTGAGTAGACCGGAATAAAAGATCACTCTAAATATAACCGATGAAAATCACTAATGTTCAGTTTTTAAAATCTAAGTATTGAGAATGCTTTGTGGGAAATAGTGTTGAGAGACAGAACCACAGGGATGACAAATCTCACCAATAACTGGCCATAATAGACTGAACTTTCAGATAGGATCTGTCTGTCCCTAAATACATCAGCGTCATTTTCTGTCATTTTCTTTTGTTTATTGACTATGGGTCACATATCAATGCAACAACAAAAGATAACCCTTTAAGCAATTAATAAGGTTTTAATGTAAATAGAAACATGCCAAAGTGTCAGGTAAGAATAAAATATAAAATTCTTTCTTATTTCTTCATTTTTCCACACTTCTATTTTTTTCTTACTCCTTTTGAAGGAAGTAACTTAATTGACTTTATATTTTATTTATTTCTCTAGCACATAAAAAAAATTTTCAGGAAGGAGAAACTTCCTGCCTTTATAATACATTTCCAATGACTTTGTGAATTATGCACCTTTCTATAACACAGTTTTAGGATGACTGAAGCTTTGGAGAAGCTTCATTATCTAAACACATTTGGACTGATGGGAGGCTAGATATATAATTTGCTCAGATGATGGATTGCCAATGCTGAATAATGTGGAAAATTTCAATACAGTAAATCATTCTGAATGTGCAAAACTGGGCAGAGAGCCAGGGGGATACAACAGATTAATGGGTTGTTCTGTCATTGCTGAAGATATGGGTTCTAATCTTGATGCCCAGAGGGGGGAAATTTGAGCTAACAATGGACTTTTTAGACATTGAGAAGCAGATCTCAAAAGAACGCAGAGAAGGGATGAGCTTTAATAAAAGAAGAGTAGGCAGTTTGAAAACTTACATTTGAGGGGAAAAAAGATATGAGGAAAAAAAGTAGTAAATATTATCCCTTTATCCAGCCAACGTGCAAATAATAATAATATTATAATTATAAATATATATATATATATTTTAAACATATATATATTTTTTGAGACGCAGTAGATCTGGCAACAGATCTACTCTGTCGCCAGGCTGGAGTGCCATGGTGCGATCTCAGCTCACTGCAACCTCCACCTCCCAGGTTCAAGCGATTCTCCTGCCTTGGACTCCCGAGTAGCTGGGACAACAGGCACCCGCCACCACGCCCGGCTAATTTTTTGTATTTTTAGTAGAGATGGGGTTTCACCATGTTGGCCAGGATAGTCTCGATCTCCTGACCTCGTGATCCACCTGCCTCGGCCTTCCAAAGTACTGGGATTACAGGTGTGAGTCACCGCGCCCAGCCTCCAACATGCAAATTATTAATCTTAGTCCAATTAAAAACATGACAACAATAGAAGAGGCTTTCATATGCTTATGAGTTTTTGAGTCATCCTATACTAACAATAAATTGGGGAACCAAAGTCAAATAGTAAAAAAGGCAATTGGGCAATTCTTCCAATCACAGGATTTATTTGGTTTTCTAGTATTAAGTCCATAAGTTATCTGTATTTAAAATCAGAAATAGCTTAAGACATATTTTCTATGCAAGTTGAGGATCTTTTATGGTTTAACAGAATAAAATGCTGTTTTATGATTTATCAATAAAAATTTATTATGTTGGGAAATCTAGTGAAATTGCCTATATTTAACCATTTTTTACCTTCAAATATGGCAATTTCATATGGTTAAATCTAATGGATTTGTTCACACAAGGATAAGAGAAAACTCATATTGAGCATTGTGTTATTCACATTAAAAGTATTGTCTCATTTAATTTTCACCGCAATATCATATGAAAATTTAGATAAAGAATATTCAGATAACTTTCTCAAGTCACATAAGTAAAGAGAGGCATAAGTAATATCAAAGGTCTCTTTGACCCGTTAAGTAAGGCCTTCATGTATGATTATGAAGGTTGTTCACTGTGCAAGGGTGATAGCCAAGGAGGGAAGTGAGGGCTTAAATTTAGCCTATGTTCTACCCAACTAGCGGGGAGCCCCGGGATCGGACATTGTATTGTTCAAAAAAGAGTGAATGAATATATAACCTGTCCCATGTGCATTTCTTACAGTGTTATATTGACAGTCCTTCATTGAAAGGCAGAGTCTATTTTTTCTTCCCTTCAAGCTGGGCAGAACTTTACAACTGCCTTCAGCAACGAAATGAAGCAGAAGTGACGCTGAAGCTATGTAATTAAAGGAAGTATGACTTTACCCTAGTGTCTTCCCTCTTTGAACAAGTGAACTGGGGCCCTGAGCCTATTTGTTCTTTATCGTTAAATTCATTTTATTTACCAAAGTAGATTGCAATTTACTTGTTATATTTCATATTTTATTTTCAGGTGGGGAGAGGTAAGGGTGTTGATGGTGGAAATCAATCTGGAACATGATAAAAAATGATCTTTCTGAGAGATGTTAACATGTGAAAAAAATCTACTTGAAACTCGATGTAATACTAAGCGTTTCTCAGAAAAATAAAATCAAAATGAAGCTCAGGTTTAGTAACTAAAGTCCTTTTTGTCACTAGAAATGACTTATGTTTTTATAAAATATTGATGTAATAGTAATACCGCTTTCTTAAATGATAACATTGATAAAAGACATGATGAACTCAAAAATGTGTCTCTGGAAAACACAGTCAATATTCCTCAAAGGGCTCTATATAAATTAAACATGTAAGAAAGCATACCACAAGGTAAAATGTGTGGGGATTTCATCAGTCATCCACTTCCTTAACTTATTTTAAGCCCTAGGTACAGTGACCAACGAATATTTTCATGGCTGTTATAGATCCATGAGAGTGTTTAAGATCCAAAGTTATATTCCGTTTCAGAAAAATAGACTCAACCCCTATTCCTTTATCAAGTTAGACTGTATACTTTTATAATGTATCATATCATTGTGATAGAACAGTAGCTACTTTTTATTTAAAGAACTGTACATTTTCCATTTATTTTACTCTTTTACATTTAAAATTATTTAAACATACTTTCTCCTCTCTTTATTGGCCAACATTAAACCACATTGCTAATCTAATTTTCACTTGAGATGATACAGAGCTCTCCAAACCCATTCTCTGTTTAGATGACATGCAAATCAGATTAATGTGCTTATGTTACAGACTTAGAGATAAGATTGTTGCTTCTGGGGCTTTAGCAGTAAAAATGCCTCTAATGTTTACTACTTTTTTTTTTCCTGCCTTGGCAGTATATCTCCACAGGAACGCCTTTTGGCAGATTAGTTTTCTAAGGCAGAGATCTACTCAGGGAGGCAGGAAAATACAGCAAAATCATTTTAGGAAATCAGAGAAAATATTTGAAGGTAAGGCTTTAATTATAACATAAGCGACTTAGAATAAACACTCAGGCATACTTGAAAGGACCTACAAGAAATTTTAAGTCTTGCTTTTTTTTTTTTTTTTATCTTTCAGTGGATATGTCTGTCTATAACATTTGAAACATGCTTTTTATTTAAAGCAAGGGTGTGCACAAAATGACTTTTCTGGGTGTGAGTCCAATTGCTGAGTGTTTCCAATCCTGTTTTTTGTCTTTTTTTTGCCAGCCAAGGCACCCAAGATGGTATTTTCTCATAATTACAGCCCAGTTCAAATATGTGTGCTCAGACAAGAAAAAGGCAAGTCACACTCTTAGCCATGTGAACTCCCAGGCCATTTAGTGTGTGAATAAATTAGGGGGATGGAAATCTTCCTCTCCCCTGTCTCAGTTCCTAAGTGAAGCTTCCTGGGTATGATGGCTTTTTAAAGGCTTAAAAAAATTAGATGTAAGCCAACTACTCCAGCTAGGTGGTCTAATTTTTTGTTTGTTTGTTTTTTGAGATGGAGTCTTTCTCTGTCACCCAGGCTGGAGTGCAATGGCACAACGTTGGCTCACTGAAACCACCTCCCAGGTTCAAGCGATTCTCCTTCCTCGGCCTCTCAAGTAGCTGGGATTACAGACACTCATCATCCTGCCCAGGTTGCTTATTTATTTATTTATTTATTTATTTATTTTTGAGACAGGGTAGCTGGGATTACAGGCACCTATCATTCTGCCCAGTTAATTTTTCTTTTTTTTTTTTCTTTTTTTTTTGAGACAGGATTTCACCATGTTGGCCAGGCTTGTCTTGAACTCCTGACCTCTGGTGATCTGCCCACTTCGGCCTTCCAAAGTGCTGGGATCACAGGCATGAGCCACCGTTCACAGCCTTTGTCTAATATTTAACCAGAGAAATAGTCACCCATCCAAAAGTAGGAGAGAAAACTGGCTTTGGATTTGTTGGCAGGTAGTGTCTGTCCTCAAGGATATACCAACATAAAGCATTTTTCATAAGTGGTTTTGGATGCCTTTTCATGGAATTCACACCCTCAGATTGAGTTGAGATTAAAATTTAGAGAACAAGTAAGCAAAACAGTTTTAAGCATCTATAGCAGTTTTTAAGAAGTAATGTGGTGTGTACTGTGTTAGCCACTTTGTATTCATATTCTTTGTATCACTAATCCTGGGGGTTATTATTTACATCTCAGAGATGAGGAAACTGAGAATCAGAGAAGTTGAAAAAGTCTTCATTGATAAACTGGAATTATATCTGTGATATGATTCCAAGAACCTCACATTTTTAGCCATGAGAGACTATTATAACACGTTCATTATAACTACTGAAATCACTACCTTCTGGATATTGTTTATGTTGGTTTATCTTACTTGCTTCACTGAGCAGATTACATAGTTTAATACAATTGTTATGATAGATTTGTTTTGATTCATCATAGCAGACTGAAAGAATGGACATCTGCTTGCTACTCTATTTTATAATTGCTTTTAAAATAGGACTTTGACATTAAATAAAATGATCACCCAAACTTCTCAATCTCTTTGTAAGGACAGAAAAATGTTTCTGAAGATTAAACATAGGAGTCTATATCTGAGGTCAGTTTTTACATTAAAGCCAGAAACAAAACAGATTATTTCAAATCTAGTTACTTAATGTGTCTATTTATGTTGGCATAGTCACATTTGATACTTTTCATAGTTCTTAGTTCTTTCCTACTGAAATCCTCAATGAATACAGAGATGCCAGTTACATTCCTTGCAGCAGACCATACAGTGCCTAATCTGTACTTAAGACCATTTGTTCAAATGACAGCTAAACACATTTCAAGGTCCTGAGACTCAATTCGTTAATGCCACAGCTTGCTGCAACCTTTAGTTGGGGTCATATAATTCTCTGTGGTCCCTTAACTTTGGATATAATAGAAAGGTAGTTTGTCTAGTAAGAAAATGCCCTTAATCCAGCGGGATATGAATCTGATGGTGTGCTGCTCTCTCAAGAATGGGCCTCTTTCCCCTTTCACTCAGGACTCCTGTGGCATTAACCTAAAGCTCTCTCAGTCTCGCCAAACCCTGCTCTTCCACCCCTGTAGGTTAAATGTCTTCTGCTCTGCAGGGTTACTTTACTCGTTCCTTAAATAAGGAAAAAAACATGTTTTATCATATTACTATTTTACTTATTTCATTTTCACCTTCCAGTCTCTCAAATGGATGAACTTTCTTAGCTCTATTGATTTCTGCTTCTATTGATTTCTGTATGGCAAGTATTTATTGCCTATTTACCCCTTAACCTGCTGCACTTTGCCTTCCTGCCTTTGTAGTTGGCAGAAACAGCCCCTTTGAAAGTCACCAGAGACTTGCTAATGACTCAATCCAGCAATTTTTCTCAGGTCCCCTACCCCACATGTTTTTTTTAACTTCTCTCAGCCATCATAACAGTATGGCTAACATTTATGGAACTTTCACTACAAGGCACTTGTAAATTCTTCTTATTGAAGCTTCATAGGACACTATGAGTCAGTTATGCTGTTTAATATCCATTTGCAAAAGAGAAAGGAAGTCTCACACAGATAAAATAAGTCATGTAACTGCATTTGAAATACAAATACAGCCTCCTTAGCCTACACTGTCCACCTGGCAGTCCCTTATTTCGCTTCACATTAATATTAACTTGGCAGCATTCATGATAAGCATCCTCTGCACTGCACTGAAAATATTTTCCTGTAGATAACTTACGTTCCCAACTAGATAATCATTTCCTAGATAACAATATTTTTAATTCCCCACAATATGTGGTTCTATGATTTTCCTACATAGTTACTATTATATTTATTATATTAATAACGCTGAAAGTGACATGTTCTTTGTTCTTCCTGACATCCTCACATTTAATAGGATGAGATAATGCATTGAAAATAATTAGATTTCATTGACTCACTCCTCTTGAATGAGGGACAAATTATGTGATGAGAGAAACACAAGGAGACTGCAGGTACATCTAGGCCCTTAGAATTGGGAAGAGAAGCACTTTTCAGGGTTTGCATACATTAAGAGGTATGAACTTGTAACAAGGTGTGAATAGGAAATATTACTATCCCAGGAAAAGGATAAGTTTATCTTTCCTATTCCTTGTTTACGTCAAGGAGAGCTAAGCAACACTCCTTATTACCATCAGTGACCCCTGTCATGAAGGAGACAGGAAGGTGTGGCACTAGGAAACAGACAAGAAATTAATCATGAGAACAAGCATCCGGTCACCACTCTGGTCTATCTGTAAAATAAAGGTATTCGATTTTAAAGATTTAAAGGACCTATGCTGCTTTAAAATTCTTTGATTTTATGAAAGAGAGAGAAGAATTAAGATGAAGAAAATCAGGAGAGATTGGGTAATTTGACCCCAGGGATTTCATTTGTTAAGCATGGCACCCTCCAGGGCTTGGAAACTTTCATCTGTTGCCTGGTTACTAAAAGTCCACTTTGAAGTGAGGGTCTGATATTCCTCCTTCTCTCCAATGTAAATGATGGGGATGGGTGGTGTTAGTTGAAAGTTTGAAGGTGCCATGCTTGCACACTTACCTGTCTCCTCTCTTCTATTAAACTCTTCTTTCTCAAAACTTACAATTTTTCAGAAGGAAGATATGCAGCTGTCCCTTAAGTTCAAAAGATGCCCAAGATCACTCAAAATAAGAAAAAAAAAAAAACACTTCACTGAGTTACCATTTTTTTACCCATCAGATCACTAAGTTTCCGTTCAGTTGTCAGTATATTCTGCTGTGGAGACTGTAGCTGGAGAAATACTAACAAAATGGCACAATCGCCAAAGAGGGGTATCTGGAAATATCCAGCAAAATTGTGTATGTAGATATCATTGGACTCAGTCCTTTTTCTAGGAATCCTACCCAAAGTTACACTAGAAAACAATACAACACAGGGTTATTTCCTGTGGCATTATTAGCATTAGCAAAAGAAAGGAATAACAACAAACGTTTTTGTAGAGAGCACTGACTGAATAAATTATGGTCTATCCGTATCCACAGAACAGATTACTAGCAA